GAAACGCTCTCTCGCGCGAGAAAGAGCTTTTTTCCAACGATGGAGCCGCGACCGGTTGGGCTCGATTTTTCTTCGCCGTAGATCGATCTCGATATTTGTTGGAGCGCAAAAAAAAAAAAAAAAAAATTTCTTACGCGTATTCTATAATCGACTTTTACTTATATGTAACGATGTCGAGAGCGTGTAAAAGTGTGGAAATCAGTTTTAGAATGACGCGAGTTGTGAAACTTTCGTGTACTGTTGCAAAAAATGAAGCTACTTTATTATACTTGGATCTAAATAAATCAATATACAAATTCTATGATAAATAGAATAGTGTATAGATATTTATTGAGTTATGAAAACTTGGAATTTCGGTTTTTCCTGTGAATTTAGTTTTAGAGTTTCCCCTAGGAAGATCGGCGCCGTGATTTTTTATTCAGTGAAATAGCGGGGGTGTCGCGAAGAGTTGGAGAGTTAAAATGGGAAGAACAGAAGGGCGAGGGTGTCGCGGGATCTACGTGAAAAATGGCGCTTACGAATGGGGAAGCTTCAGAAGAGATACGTGTGTGGCTCTTTCGCATCTGCGCCTCTTTCACTCCTGCTCGCTAAAAATTGTTTGAAGGAATAGATTGAAGAGGTGTATAAGGCGAGCGGAAAACATTGATCACCTGGTGTCCATTAGCTCTTCTGGGGGAAATTAATGTACCAAGAAGGAATTAAGAGAGCTGTATTGCTTACCAAGCGTGAGAACGGATCATTCAATGAAAATAAATTCCAACCGCGATTCACTTTTCATTTATCATCGTTTAGAAAACGGTTAATTACTTATTTCCACATTACATACTTTTCTCACATTTTCTAATATTTTCATTTGACGATTAAAATGTCTTACGAACAGAAATAAAAATGATTCGAGTCACATAAAATGTTTCTTGTACCATTTAATTAATTTTATTAGAATCTTAGATTTATAATTAATTTCTTTAATTAATTGATTAGATTGATCACAGATTGGTAGATAATATTGTAAAAAAAAAGATATTCATTTTAAACTTTGTTATACAATTTTATAATGATAGATTCTTGCAGTAATTTTTTTTTTTCCTTTTATGACATTATGGCGACCGATAACATTCGACATTCTATTTATTCACACATATTTTCCGTAAACATGATAAAAACTTGTATTATTATGATATTGCCAGATTAGCCAGCCACTTTATTGATATCTACAAAAGCCTAATGAAAATGTATATTTTCTATAATTATCCATTTCAAAAATTTCTAAATCTCAACAAATTTCATAACTCAACTCTCTAACAACAATACGAAAGACGCGTATATAAATTCGAACAAATGTTCAATGCATTTTAAAGAATATTAAAATTTTAATCGACAAAAAAAAAAGAAGAAAACGCAACCGAATTCATCGTCACGGAAGAAAGGATTCAAAAGCGCATCGAGAGGATTCCCAAAGGACCTGAGAATATTTCTCATTTCCCGTAATCGGAGAAC